CATTACTTCGATTTAACCACAGTTCACCCTTTCCGCGCCCGCGGCCTGGACACCCCTGCCAGCGGCTACCTGCAAACAAAGCCACGAAAATCCGCGCCCGCGGCCTTGTGTGCCGCGCCCGCGAATGACTGGGGAGAGCCCTCTCCAAGGGCGCGGCCAGCCTTCTATAGGTTCAAAAGATGAGCTCCAATTCACCCTGTCCGCGCCGGCAGCCTGAACACCCGCGCCAGTGGCTCCTTGCAAACAAAGCCGCGAATAACTCTAATCTAATTAACCTAACTAACCCAAAAAAAAGTAAATTCCCTCATCTCTCTCTCTCTCTCTTGTACTCTTCTTCTTCGGTTCTTCCCTAACAAAACCCATCTAAAACCCATAATTCATGTTTGTGTTCGCAGTAATGCAATTGCATGCTTAAAATTTGCCCTAATTAACAAAGTTACTTGCCTGTAAACAACATTTGTCGTCTATTGAGCCAAAAATGGGGAAGAATAAAGGAATTGCCATTGGAGGAGAAACGAGAAAGGCCCCTGTAATAACTGGTTCCAAGTAAGTAAAGTTATTGTCTTTATGTGCTCAACACTATTTAAATTGTTTTGCATAATTGGAATTGATGAGTAATTGGAATGCGTGCTTAAACCTAGGTTTGAATTGATTTTCAATTGTATAATTGAGGTAGTTGTTGTTTATGGTGGTACTGTGAAATTACTTGTTTGATGCAATAGAATAGAAAAGTTGAAATGGATTCCTTCTTGTAACTTGGTGAATGCTTTTAAAATTTTACAGGGTTGTTCAGAAAAAAAATTCCACCCTATATTGGTATTCGAATGTTTTATGGGGGGGGGGGATTTTAAGACCAGTAGGAGTGTGGTGTTTTGGAGTGGGGGTGTAATGTTGTAAGAGGCTCAGGTGTCTACAAGAACCATGAGCATTGGGTCTTTAAATAGGCTTGTAGTAGATAGGTTCAAAGTCAAAATTGTGGAGTACAAAATTTGGTACAAAAAATTTGGTAAGAGTTTGAACACTAGGAGAAAGGTGTTGCTTGACCAGTGGGACATTGATAATCTGTTGAAAGGTGTTGGGAAATCAGATGTAATTACTTTGTATGTTGTGTTGAGTGTGATGAATGGAAAAAGCACAAAAAATGATGTTTGCATTGAAAAACCAGCTCAAAAGATACCCTCACCTTAGAAAAACCCTTTCCCAAAACACCCTCCACTACTAACAGTTAAAATAGAAAAGGGTACCACTTCTTCAAACCCTCACCCAATCCCTTATGTAAAGCCTACCTCTTCTCAATCCCACCAGTTCACAAGATCTAAACTACCTGTGAGGAGAAAAACATCCCAAAAAACACCAATTGCATCTCCTACAAAACATATGCAGTTAGATCTAGCCAAGAAGCTTAGGTCATTAGTGAGAGTGAGTTTAGGAGGTACATAGACAACTTGAAGACAAAGAATGATGTTGTGGCTGCAGAGAATAAAGGGAGTAAGAAGAAAGAGGATGTGGCTATATAGAAGACAGGGAGTAAGAAAAAAGTATCCAGAAAGGGGAAGGAGGTAGCTAACTCTATTCCAGAACCTAGGTCAATAGGTAAGAGAGTTTGGCTGGGTGGGGAAGAAGATAATGAAAGTGGTAAGGATGGGGATGAGTTAGAGGAGGCAGAAGATTTGTTTGAGGATGGAGATGAATTGAGAGAACAGTGTAAGGATGGAGATGAATTGAGATAACAGTTTGAGGATGGAGATGAATTGAGAGACAATTGAGGATGGAGATGAGTTTAACTATGAACTTGATGTCCTTCCATATTTAGATGACTATAATTTTGATGACAATGAGGAAGAAGATTTTTTTGCTGTTGGTTTTGGGGCAAATATTCTACACACTGTAGTGAGCAGCATTAGAGGAGTTACTTTACCTACTAGAGAAGTGAAGGAAGTCCCTAGTAGAGTCACTAGGTCTCAAGCTAGGCTAGAAGTTGACTTGGCAGAACAGTCAAACTTAGGTGAGGAAATTGATTATGATTCTGAAGAGCCAGGAAGTATAGATGGGTCAGATGAGGAGCCTGACATGACACAAACATTCAACCCAGAAGTTGAATTTGAACAACCAATTTAGCTCACACCTAGTTTAAGGTTTCCTTCAGTGAATGTGTTTAGAAAAGCACTGAGATAAAATGCAATAGAGAACAAATATGACTACTACTTGCTGCACAATGGGAAGAAGAAGGTGACTTCTTATTGCAAAGATAGATGTTCTTGCCCATGGGACCCAAAAAGGTCTAAGAGAAATTGTTCTTGTCTTCAGCCTTTGTGCAAGTTCAGGGTTATTGTAAGAAAACTGAATCTAGAAGAAACAATGTTCATTAGGGCAATGAAGTTGAAGCACACATGTAGGGCTGCCAAAAGGAACAGAAAAGTGACCTCAGAGTACTTGGCAGAGAAGTACTTGGAAGATTGGAGGTCTGATCCAGATTGGCACTTGACCAAAGGTTTTGGTCAAAGGGTTTTGAGAGATACATGTGTTTATTGTGGTTATTACAAGATGTGATTTGCAAGAGCAAGAGCAAGAGCAAAGATGATGTTGTATGGAGATAGGTCAGAGCAATACAAAAGGGTGTGGGATTATGCATATGTTGTGAAGAAGTACAATGAGGGTAGCAGTGCTTTTGCATGTGTGAGAACATAGAGAGACCCCCTCCTATTTTCCAGAGGATGTTTATATCACTCAAGCCAGTGATGGATGGCTTCAAGGTAGGGTGTAAGCCTCTTATTGGGTTAGATGGTTGCCATCTAACAGATCCATATCTAGGGATCTGTCTTGTGGCAGTGGCAAGTGATGGGAATAACAACATTTATCCCCCTATCTTGGGGTGTTGTTGAAATTGAAAAAACTAACACTTGGTCATGGTTCTTGGACCTGTTAGCTTAAGCATTGGGAACAATGGATGGACATAGATGAAATTTCATGTCAGATAGACAAAAAGTGAGTTTGCTCTCTCTAGTGACTGTGCTTTGATTCATTTTGATTAAGTTTTGGGAATGGGACATATAACTAACTGTGTGAAATGTTTTGTAGGGACTGTTAGAAGCTTTCCAAAATCTTGTACCCAAGGATGGAATCAGATTCTATTGGAGACACATATGGTTAAACTTCAAGTTGAAGTGGAATGGTTTGGCTTACAAGGAGCTGTTGTGGAAAGCAGCAAAGGTTACAACTGTGGTATGCACCTCATTTTCCTAAATGTATGCTTAAAGCCAGTGTTTGTTGTTGTAATTAGCTTAACTTTGGTTGTTTGGTTTATTGTGATTGTGCAGTTAGAATTCAATGAGCATATGAAAACATTGAACACCATGTCTGAGAAAGCATATGACCTGAGTACATGTTTGCTATCCCCTCCCATTGCTGGAGTAGGCATGCATTTTCTTCTACCCCTAAATAAAAAATGCTTGTGAATAACATGTGTGAGAGCTTTAACAGTGTGTTAAAACAAGCAAGAGACAAACCAATTTTAACACACATGGAATGGATGAGAAGATATGTTATGCAAAGAAATTGTCAGAAAAGGGAGGGAGCTCAAAAAATGCAAGGGAGGTTCATGCCTTATGTTAAGAAACAATTCGATTGGGCTGAGAGAGTTAGGAAGTACAACATACTGACTAGGAGTACAGAAGAGTTGTTTGAGGTTGAGAACAATGGAGATAGGCATCTAGTTGATTTGGATGCATGGAAATGCAGTTGCTATTCTTGGCAGTTGATAGGGGTACCATGCCACCATGCATATGCTTGTATTTTGTACATGAGAGGGGATCTAGAGGATTATGTGGATGCAGCTTATTCAAGGGACAAGTACCTAGCTGCCTATTCCCCTGCATTGATGCCTATGCCAGGGCTAAGCAATGGGAAAAGAACTCTTTCCCTAAGCCACTTTCACCCCCATCTAAGGTCATGCCAGGCAGGGCATCAAAGAAGAAAAGGAAGAAGGAAGTTGGAGAGGATGCTGGCCTTGCAGAGAAGGCTGAAAGAATGGGTGGAAAGCCATACAAGTGTTCCAATTGCAAGTAGTACGGACATAACATCAAGAAATGCAAGAACCCAACCCTTGACACCTGATCTGAACCCAAGAATAAGGGTGGGAAACCATTCTCTGATGACCCATGGGTGGTGCATAGCAGAGCAATGAGGGCTGCAGGGAAGGGAGAGAGGTCTAAAAACAAGGTACTTATATTTCTCTTTTGGTGTTTTTGGCCTCCCTTACAAAGTTTTCTTTCTTAATTTGGTGGTGGATTGTGCAGGGTAACAACAAGCAGGCAACACAAGCTAAGGTTGGAGAGAACTCATCCCAAGCATCAACTGTTACAGCAGCAGGGCAGTCACAACAACCTAGTAGTCCAACTGATGAAATGAGAGAGTAGTTGTTTGTTTAGGTTCAAAGTACAACTTTTATTTAGTGTGTTTGGTGTAAGATTTCAACATTTAGGCAATTAAGTCCTATTTTGTAGTACAATTATGGCATGCATGCCTACTTTGCCAAGTTATGTTCTGTTTTGACTATTTATGTTGGTCTTGGTAATTATAGTCAAGCTTTTGTTATGTGTATTAATAAGTGTCATTTATGACACATTTTAGCCCTTCTTAGTAGTGTATTGATAACTGTTAATTAGGGAGCCGTAGGCGGGGGTGTACAAGCCGCGGGTGCAGGTGTCAAGGCCGCGGGAGCGGACAGGATGAATTGGCGCTCATCTTTTGAACCTGTAGTAGGCTGGCCGCGCCCTTGGAGAGGGCTCTCCCCAGTCATCCGCGGGCGCGACTATTCTTGGCTTTGTTCGCAGGGAGCTGCGGGCGCGGGTGTCCAGCCCGTGGGACAGGGTGAATTGGAGCTCATCTTTTGAACCTGTAGAGGCTGGCTGCGCCCTTAGAGAGGGCTCTCCCTAGTCATCTGCGGGCGCGGGTTTTTGTGGCTTTGTTTGCAGGTAGCCGCGGGCGCGAAAAGGGTGAACTGTGGTTAAATCGGAGTAATGACGTCATAAGGTGAGTTAAGTCACCGGAAAGTGCAATTGGGTAGTAATCGGTCCTATTTAGGTGAATTAGGGGTAGTAATTAACAAATTTTTTTTAGGGGTAGTAATTCACAAAACCTCTGTTTTTGAGGTAGTAATTAACTAAATTTCCTATATATAAATTCACATTAATCTATAAAAGATGATATAGTCATGTGAAATCTTGTTAAATTCGTCTAATTGTATATTCTATTAATATAAAGTTTTTTATTTTTTTTTTAAGAAAAATTAAAACTAATAATCTCACATTTGGCTCATCTTCTCAAAACAATCAACCTTTGCGTATTTTAGAAATAAACCCACCTTATACCCCCATATTCTCAAAATGAGCCATTTTACCTTTAACCTGTAAAACAAGTTAGATTTTTTCTATTTTTAGTTTTTTTTTTCCTTTAATCCCTCTTCTCTCACCTTACCCCCTCCATACCTGTCAACCACCTCCACACCACCACCCAAAATCTTAATTCGACAGCACCACCACCACACACCAACTACCACGCAAACACCACCACACAACCACTTGTCCCTGCTCCACCGTCCACATCAACAACAACCACAACTCACAGCTAATCCCCACCTTTTGCAACCCCCATACTCAACCTCAACACAAAACTCCAACTCCCCTGCACTACCTTCTCTTACGAACGCGCACCACCTACGAGCTCAGCCACCACCAAACACTTACCCCCAACCGCCGCACAACCCCGACAACCGCAACATTTGCCTCGCTATTCACCCAAACCAACAATAACAACAGCGCAGCCAGCCAACATTCACCTCCCCACCAATTTATTCATTCTTACCACTCAAAATCCTCTTTCTCTTTCTCCTCCTCCTTTGAAGCTCTCATCAAACCTCCCACCTCCCCCACTCCTTCATTCGCAGAATTGGGGCTGACTTGTGGGGCTTCAATTAATCTGAAATTGGGCTGAATTGGGGCTGCAATTGCTAAATTGGTGAACCAAAATTTTGACGTGGCTGCTGTTGGGATTAGTGATCGGTTGTTAGTGTTAGGAGCAGCGGAAGCGGCACTGCTGGAGGTGTTAGTTTGCGGCAGTGGCAGTTCGGTGGCTAGTTGGTTACGCTTTTGTTGTTGTTGGTTTGGGTGAATGGTTCAGGTGGGGAGTGACGGGGAAGGGGAGTTGATTCCGGAAGGGAAGTGTTGCAAGTTGGGGTTTAGGAAGGTGGATTTATTTTTTTTTCCGGTGTGAGGGTGGATGGATGTGGTGGTGGTGAATTGGGTAGGAGGGAATCAAGGAGGGCGGCTGTGGTTGGGTCAGGCTGGCCCGCTGGTCTGGTTGTTCCGGTAGGCAACTGATCCGACGAAGGAGGGGTGGCTCCGACAGAGGAAAGAAGAAGAAGGTTTTTTTTTTCCCTTTATTTTTTAAAAATAAAAAAATAAAAATAAGAAGACAACACGTGGCAAAATACCTTCTAAATCGATTACCAATTTCACTAACAGGTAAAAGGCTCATTTGAGAATATGGGGTATAAAGGTGGGATTATTTCTAGAATACGCAAAGATGGGATTGTTTTGAGTAGATGAGCCAAAGGTGGGATTAATAATTTCAATTTTTCCTAATTTTATGCTTATAGAATTAAAGACGATATATATACGCTTTAAGACGCATCTCAAAGACCTTAAAAAGTTAAATGGGGCAAAAAAATAGGAATATAGGGAGTAGTAAGTAATGTATTTATTTGAATATAAAAGGGAGTACAGTTGTACATTTAGTCGGATCATCTCAGACGCTCCAAAACTACAGTGTTGACTCCACCATGTGCATGTCACATCTAATGAATGGGATTTCTTCCACTTAAACAGAGTATAAAAGCAAGCAACTTATACTAAGCTTATTCATGTATCCCTCAAACATATATTAACACCAAAAATTCAAATTTTAGCTTATAATAAATTTCCTTCCAAATTGATAAACAATGGGTGACAAACCACAAAGCCTTCAGGTAGTCCTCTTTCCGCTTTTAGCTGCTGGCCATATGATCCCAACCTTAGACATCGCGAAGCTTTTTGCAACCAACAATGTCAAAACTACCATCCTCACAACCCCTCTCAACGCACCAATTTTTACTAAAGCACTTCAATCGACGACCTACAATAATCCCAGTAGTCTTCCAATGATAGATGTTGAAATCGTACCATTCCCATCCAAAGAAGGTGGTATTCCGGAGGGAATAGAAAATTGTGACCAAATATCATGTAATGAATTATCTATCAAATTTTTCAAGGCGACCCAGTTGCTGCAAAAATCACTTGAGCAAGTGATGGAGAAATACAAGCCTAGTTGCCTAGTCGCGGATTTGATGTATCCTTTTGCTACCGATGTTGCAGCCAAATTTAATGTGCCAAGGTTAGTATTTCATGGAAGTAGCTACTTTGCATTTTGTGTGGAGCACGCGTTGATGAAGTACGAGCCTCAAAAATCTGTCTCGTGTGACGATGAGGAATTTGTTGTCCCTGAACTTCCTCATGAAATAAGACTTACAAGAACTCAGCTAGTAGCTGCTGTTAAAGAGCTAGGCATGGAAGAGTGGATGAAAATATATGGTCGTGCTATGGAGGCCGAGGAAAGGAGCTATGGCATCATTGTGAATAGCTTTCTTGAGCTCGAGCCAGATTATGTTGATTACTATACAAAGGTTATGGGAAAGAGGGCATGGCACATTGGTCCTGTTTCACTCTGCAACCGCGAAAAAGAAGCAAAGTTTCAAAGGGGGAAGGATTCCTCAATTGGTGAGCATGAGTGCTTGAAGTGGCTCGATTCGAAGAAGCCTAAGTCGGTTGTTTATGTTTGCTTTGGTAGCATAGCTGAAGTCTCAACTTTGCAACTCCAAGAGATTGCGAGGGGCCTAGAAGCTTCTAAACAAGATTTTATATGGGCAGTGAGGAGGAGCGACAATGACGAGGTTGAGAAAAATGAAGAGTGGCTACCACATGAATTTGAGAAAAGGATGGAAGGAAAAGGACTAATTATAAGGGGATGGGCGCCTCAAATGCTAATTTTGGACCACGAAGCTATAGGAGCATTCGTGACGCATTGTGGGTGGAACTCGACATTAGAAGGTATATCATGTGGGGTTCCTATGGTAACTTGGCCAGTGTTTGCCGAGCAGTTTTATAATGAAAAGTTGGTGACTCAAGTTTTGAAGACCGGGGTTGGTGTCGGAGCTAAAAAATGGAGTAGAATAGCGGAGAACGTAAAATCGGAAGATGTAAAGAAAGCTATAACAAAAGTTATGGTGGGTGAAGAGGCTTTGGAGATACGAAGCAGGGCAAAAAAGATGAAAGAATTAGCAAGGAAGGCTGTTGAAGTTGGCGGATCATCGTATTGTGATTTGAATTCCTTAATACAAGAATTGAGCTCGTATAATGCTCGTATAATCGCATGAATCAAATTTATCTTTGATAAGTACTTCTAATGTAAGTGTGATCTCCTTGATAAGTACTTCCTTTGGATTGTATATATTATTATTTATTATATCCGGTAAAGTTGTCACCGTTTCTTTTTCAATTATAACTAAATTTGGAGTATGCATTCAAATATGAGCAAACAAATACACTCACATGTAGAGTGACGTAAGCATATAAGCTTAATTTATGTTTACTTCCATTTCATATAATCTAAAATATAAGCTAAGTTATAAGCAACTAACATAATCCCATAAGAGAACCTAAGCCTAGTGGTAAGAGTTTAGCTTCGGTCATGAAAGGGGGAAAAAAAAACACAATATCCAATTAGAAACTGTGTTGGTGTTGGTATATCCTTAGGATAATATATATGTACTACGTCCTAGATTAATTGATACTGTCAACGTATTAATATTATTTTAAATATGCATAATTAAACATTAGCAATAAAAAAATTGATACAATATATTAATAAAGTATTTTATGATAAAATTTATTTTAACACGTTATTAAAAATTATGGTCTAAGTTAGTATATGAATAGTGATACAATGAAAATGTATTACTTTTACATTATTAACACGTTATTATAAAATGTATTATATGAATAGTGATGGAGGGTGCATGTTATTTTTTTTTATTTCTTTTTTTAATTTTTAGTATAGTGTCCAATTTTAGAAGCTTTTTGAAAATCCAATTTTTTGAAGGTGATGAAAGGGCAGGCTAGCACTGTTAGAGGGTAATTAGAATAATTACTGTTATTTTTTATGATATATTGATATGTATAGGGAGGTAAATGACCATGGACCATGGACCATGTTTAAGGTTTCTTGGGATTGAGTACTGGTCTCTAGAGAGCCACAAAGGGCAATTTAGTAGTTTCACTATTTACTAGAATTGGGTCACTAAGTAGACCCGAATAATTTGTAACTCGTCACTTTATCCGTCACTACGAGTACTAAAGCTTTATTTTCTAACTACTTGAGATCCCTTTGTTGCTCTTCTTTTTCACTTGCTAGCTTACCACATTTTCCCTTACATCTTGTAACTGCCACGACACTTCTCACAAAATATATATTTTCTCTGTTTTTAAATACTTGCTTCACTTTTTATTTTCGGCTGATTTTATATATTTGCTACATTTACTTATTTGAAAAGCTTTTACAATATTTAATTTATTTCTCTCAACTAGTGGACCGATCATAAATCATATTTTAATAATTTCATATTCTCTCTTCTCCAATTCTTTCAACTACTTTTGCATTTTACAATTTTTTTGTTCTTCCACCTACCCACCACCTCCATATTTTATTATATTCTTCAATTTATCCTAAAACTCCACGCATAGAGAAATGAAACAAATATTTTAAAACTGAGGGAGTACATGCTTGTGTAGATCGAACTGAAGATCAAGAAGTGGATGGACGATTAGTTCCTTCATCTCCCTTCGATGTGATATGGGTTCAATCCTCACTCCCACCCCTCGTAGCTTAACCTATATATAAAAAAAAATTGTGTAGATCGAGCTTCTCTTTCGATACTCCCCATTACATGTATGCTAATTACGCAAAATTAATCACCTTATAAATATTATCTGTCACCCGTAGGCAAAGCTAAATTTTTACTCTTCCAAATTAAATCCTTCAAACAACCATCTTGCAGTTTTCTCATAGCCGACATCTTCTTCTTCTTCTCTTTTATAATTTTCTTTTCTACAATCAATCATAATTTTTAGTAGTAATTATAAATATAATCAAAATTATGATTCGAGGAGATTATTATCTTAACAAAAATAAGGTTAATATAAAATTAACATTCCAAATGTATTTAAATCAAAGTTATTAAAATCGGGATTCAATGGGCTATCAGAATCGAATCTTAAGATTCTACCGACATGCATAATCAAGACGTCATATCTAAATTTAATTAAATATATTTAAATTATGAGTTTGAAACCTAATTACTGATAAAAAATAGTTGTTTGCCCATTAAGCAACCAATAATTGACAATATATATTTATAAATAATTATATAGGCATGTTTTAAACTTGTAAAGATTTCGCTAGTTATGTAAAATCGGGTAGAATCGTGAATCGAATTGTATGACATACATGAATCGTAAAATCGTAAGATTCTATGATTTAAATCGGGATTTTAATAACAATGATTCAAATGGAATCTTGTTATATTCATCTTTGCCCGATTTTTCTACATATCTTTATGATTCACCACATATCTAATAATTTATGCTCAAAGTTCTAATTTAAACAACATACAAAGTAGTTAAAAACATTTCTTCACTTCCGTAGTTTTAATCCGTTGACACATTTCTTTTTGGTACAATTTTAACAAAAATCCTTATGACAATGTTTTATTATACATATAATTTACAGATACTAGATAGTCAAAATAAAATTTGTAAATAGTGTTAAAATTCTAAAAACTTGTTCTCTTCATTTGAAATCAGGAGATCTGGTCTGATTTTGTTAAGATATGATATGGTTTGATTTGAATTTTTATTATCTGATCTAGTCTGATATGATTTAATAATTTGACTAAACTTTGACCGCATTTTAATACTAATCTATAAAGAAAAATACTATCAAAATAGATCTTGTTAGATTCGTCTCATTACGAACTTTTCAGATATATAATTTCATAATTTTTTAATATGCAATTAATGATATTTAGCAATAACTAAATGATAATTAAAAGTCATAACCTGACCTTATTTGAATGTTTTTGGTCTGATCTGATCTATTCTGTATTTTTTAAGAAATAAATAATAAGTATTTGAAACAAGTTGAAAAGAACAAATCCTAAACTTTTCAGCTAAAACATAACAGAGAAAATATATATATCGTATATGATAATAATGACACAAATTCAAACTTAACCATCAACAAGACAACCATCCAATGATTTTTCACTAGACAAAGCGACCATTAAATGAACATATGTTCAATAATTATACAATTAATAACGAACAGACAAATAGTGACGTGAGGAATGGCCTATAATAATGCACTGAGGGGTATCAAAAACTCACCAAATCTGAAAGGTTTGCCTGAAATCGAACTGTTTTCAAATTGGTTAAATCTGAGAAACTTTTATCCGTATTCGATCCGGAGTCATCACGAAGTTAACTCAAAACCGACTTCACCTAGTAATTATAGTCCAAACTCAACTTGGAATCGACTCATAGTTAATCCATAACTAATAAGACCCGATAATTCAATATCCGAATTCGATCTGACCCGAAATGAGATTTACCCGAAACTATTTTGACCCGAAAAATATATATTTTTACCCGATCTATATAAACCTGACCCCTATATTACCCGACTTGAAACATCCTTTGACCCAACTAAACCCAACCTAAAACTACTCATGGTGCATTTAAACCCGACCCATTATAATTAACTTAACCCAAAATTTTCCATGACCATCCTCTCCAACCATTTTAAATTATAATTAGGAAAAGTGAGACATACGCTCTATCACATTTACTTATCCTCTGCATTTATCTAACTAAGCTGATAAACTACAATCATATCCATGAGCCCATGATTTCCCACATCTAAATATTCTACAACATTGGCAAATTAAAAGCTCATGGATGACCCAAAATTCAACCAGCAGCCTTACATGTACATTAGTCCATGATTTTGTTTTCTACAATCAAACAATCCAAAATTATCATTATACCATATAATATACTTCCTAAAATGTATAAAATTTAAAATTTATGACATAAATATGTATATACGATATATTAATGTGATTATGTGTATTATATTTACCTGATTTTGATGAATTTGAATTTATCAAAATTTATTTCAATTTAATTGAACTAATCTTAATTTATTTCAAAATATTTGAATTTATCTGAATTTATATTAACATATATGAATTTATCTGAACTCATATCAATCTGAACTTTTATTTGAAGTTATCTGAAGTTATCTTAATATATCAGAAATTATCTGAATATCCGAACTTATATCAATTTATCTGAACTTATCTGAATTTATTTGAAATTATTGAATTCATCTAAACTGATTATAAATTATCTGAACTAATATGAATATTTCAAAAAGTATCTAGAACTTATCTGAATGTATTTGAAATTATCTGAACTTAATTATTTAAATTTATTTGAACTAATTTGAATTTATCTGAACTTATCTAAAATTATATGATATTTTTAGAACTAATAGGCTTGAAATAAGAGAAAATAAGGTGAGTTGAACAAACCCCTATCTGAACGGACATTAACTTATTAGGGCTTATTATAGCTTATTTTAGTTGTAATTTATTTGATGGATAATAGTGAGTGTAATATGATGGTGTGTCCATTTCATCAGATTGTCACTAATCTAATATTATGTTATTGGTTTAGGGTTTATGCATTGCATAGAGTTGTAGGAAAATTACAAGGTATGGTCCAAAGGGAGTATTTTATAATATAAAGTATAGTTAGTGTAAATATAATTAATTGTTAATATGAGTAAGAAATAATAAAATACTTGTGTTGGTAGGGTTAATGGGGAGAAATAATAAAATACTCCGTAGTAATGTGTCCTTATTAAATAAGATGTTAGAATTATTATGAAACCAACGTAAAATAAATGTGTTGTGATTATTACGAAATGGAGGGGCAGGCATAACTTCATTAACAATAACAAAATTCAAACATTACTAAATTTCAAAATCTTGTATTCTCATCACGAGTTAGATGCTAATATATAATAAACAACCTTGATACTGTTAATAATCGAGTTGCCAATGAATTGACGATGATTAATAGCCGCAAAGCAATGATAAACCAAAGCGGTAAGGAAAAAGACATTTTACAATGATGTGATAATCACCTGATCAAGGCGATAAATAATCATTTTATTTAATAACTTGAGTTTTCAATCTTATATCAATTATGATAAGCCAATACAAAACTTAAATGAAACCCAAAAAATGATATGGACTATATATGAATGAAAATCTCCAATAACAAAAATGACATGACAAGTATTCTAATATAGCTAAAACGACTTGAACTGAGATTAACCCGAATTCAAATTATTCGACCCTGATAGCTTGTAAT